GTTTCCTTGAGAAGGGGCCTCCTGCCTAAAAAGTCTTGCACCCAGAACACTGGACAAAGAATCTGGCCAAAAACAAAAGAAAATGATTTCTTGTAATTAAAGGAATGTAAAGAATAATTTTAAAAGTAATTTAACACCTAATAGATTTAGGATATAGCCCCTAGGATGCCAGAGAAAGGAAGTGACACTGAAAGAAAAGTCTGGTCTACAAATAAATTCTAAACTGGCCCACATTCAGCCCTATGAAGACATAAACTTTTCTTTATCTTGAACTCAATATATAATCCCCAATTCAAATAGAAAAATAATAATACTTTAAACAATAAAATAAACTGGAAACCAAACAAAAAACTCAAGAGTTACTCCAAAAAAATAGAAAAGGATTCTAAGAAAAGGAAGATGAGATTTAATTTTTTATGGGAGCGCCTGGGTGCCTCAGTTGGTTAAGCGACTGCCTTCGGCTCAGGTCATGATCCTGGAGTCCCAGGATCAAGTCCCGCATCAGGCTTCCTGCTCGGCAGGGAGTCTGCTTCTCCCTCTGACCCTCCTCCTTCTCATGCTCTCTGTCTCTCATTCTCTCTCTCTCTCAAATAAATAAATAAAATCTTAAAAAAAAAATGATTTTAATTTTTTATGGTAGTTGGTTTCACTCATAGAAGTTAAAGAAGTGAGAAAATAATTAAGCATCTCCATTAGACCCTGATGCCTAAAAGGTCCTCCTTTGACCATCAAAGCTTTACTAGCATAACAATATATTTCTTTACCCAAGAGTTAATATTATTTATACAGTCACAATATTATAAAATACTATTTATTATTTCAATTTTTAAGTTAACCTGTAGACAAAGTATAAAAGTTTTTATAGAATAAATTATAAATTTTATGAATCTTGACAATGGATATAAGAAGTGTTCAACTATTCTAATTTCTTATTTTTCATAGCAAGTAATCAATGGGCATTGCCTAAGGTAAGTCAATATAATATAAAAAGATATGAATAAAAATATAAATATTATTAAGATGATAAGATCATGTGATACTATGTATTATGTATATATTATATATGCATAACTATGAAGTACATGGCATATAATGTGTAATGATATATAATTATTATATATTTCAATAACATATGTAGTATATTGTTTGGTAACATTTCAATAATATATCTTTTATAATATTATATACCATATACATGTATGCTATATATTTCATACTATATATAAATATATATTATATATATATTAAAAGTAGTAAGAATATATTTTAATAATAATGTGAATGTTGTTAAAATAATAAAAATATAAGAATATATACATGACAAACAGAGAGAATGGACTAAATATATCATAGATAATATTAACCAACATTGCCTAAAGTTTATAAATCAAAACAGGGGGAAGAGCATATTTACTTTAAATAATAAATTTAGCTACAAGAAGAGTTTAAACAAGACATTCTAAAGTCTTCAATAGGACTCCTTGAAGAAGATAAGGAAGAATTACTATCAATTTTTGCTTTTTATACTTATAATTAAAATAATTTTGCCATGTAAATGCATAAATTTTGTAACAAAAATTATAAGAGTATCAGAAATAAAAATATGTGCTGCAAAATCCCATTTTTGCAAAAATATATAGAGAGGGAGCCACAGTAACAGATAAAGATACAATGTAGAAGATACATATTAATCAAAATGTTAATAGTGGTTATCACTTCCTGAGAGAGGAGATGCCATAAATTTACATAAATTTCCTTATATGTTCCTATTTAACTTTTAAAAGGGACAGAACATTAATTATTTTGTAATTTAAAAAGTTTTTAGTACTTAAATTTGTTTCTTAAAAAAATAAATGATGGGAAAATTGCTCAACCAATTACTTTACCTTTCAATGATGCATCTAATTGTATCAATAATTTATTTCTAATATATATAAAATATTTATAAATATTATAAATTTTTAAAACAGACATAGAAGTTTCTTTTAAATACTCTTTTAGAGGTTTGAAACATTTTAGCTACCCTACAACCCAGCAATTGCACTACTAGGTCTATACCCCAAAGATACAAATGTAGTGACCCGAAGGGGCACCTGCACCCCAATGTTTATAGCAGCAATGTCCACAATAGCCAAACTATGGAAAGAGCCCAGATGTCCATCAAGAGATGAATGGATAAAGAAGATATGGTATGTATGGTAAAGATATATGGTATGAATGGTAAAGAAGATATGATAAAGAAGATATACAATAGAATACAACCCAGCCATCAAAAAGAATGAAATCTTGCCATTTGCAATGATGTAGATGGAACTAGAGGGTATTATGCTAAGTGAAATAAGTCAATCAGAGAAAGACAATTATCATATGATCTCACTCATATGTGGAATTTAAGAAACAAAACACAGGATCATAGGGGAAGAGAGGGAAAAATTAAACAAGATGAAACCAGAGAGGGAGACAAACCATAAGAGACTCTTAATCATAGGAAACAAACTGAGGGTGCTGGATGGGAGTGGGGTGGGAGGATGGGGTAAGTGGGTGATGGACATTAAGGAGGGCATGTGATGTAATGAGCACTGGGTGTTATATAGGACCAATGAATCACTGACCTCTACCTCTGAAACTAATAATACACTATATGTTAACTGAATTTAAATAAAAAAATAAAATCAGGAAGATGACCAAAAAAAGGAGAAAAAAAAGAAATAGTTAACTAACTGGATAAGGCAATGAGAAAGAGAAAAGAGTATTCTAGGCAATAGGGACACCACAGGCAAAGACTGTGAAGGAAAAAAGAACTGATAAAGTACCAAGACCCCAGGAACAAAAAGAAAAAGTCAGGTTGCCTCGATCTTCTTTCTCTGTATGGTATGTCTCCAGACATATGTAATGTGAACTTGGCCAGTCTTATATCAACACAGGGAATATGAGAGGGCCTTGCATACTGACTGGCATTTGAGAAAAATATGCTTCCTTATCCCTATTTCCACTGTTTCTTCCCTAAAGTCTTCATTACCTTTTTTCCTAGATCATGATAAACATCTTCATAAGGATATGAGACTGCCCCTAGTTTTGCCCAGTCCCATCTGTCCAACATAGAGGTGCTACCTTGTTCCTCCCAAAGTATGCCTTAGATCAATCATATCACTCTGCTGTTACTCTTCCGTGGTTCCTGATTGCCCACAGAAGAAAAGACATTCTCTGATCTAAACCGTACTTATAAAACTGTATTTTCCTCTGCTCCTTTCCAAGTAATCAAATGACATTAAGTGAGCATGCTTTATAAACTATGAAGGCTTATTTCAGAGGTGCAGGTGGAATTTATACATATTAATGGCCTGTATAAACCAGGTGCCACTCCATGAGGCCCTGCATAGTTAATGGTAAGAAACTAGTGAGAGAATTATTTCTCATTCAAAACCAGAAAACTCAGAGATTTGGCAAAATATTCAGTTACATAGCTAACAAGCCAAAGAGCTGGAATTCACTGACATTAAGATACACACTACGATATCTCAAAGTGAAAGCTGTTTCTGCAAGTGTTGGCCTTGAGAGGAAGCCTAATGTGGGAAAGAGAGCACTGGACTTAGCAGCTGAGAGGGTTTGGGTCTCTTGTGTGAACTTGGGCAATGTACTTGTTTTCAAAGCTTCTTTGTGACATAGGGATAGAATATCTCACATGGTTGTAGTGAAGACTAAATGGTATGATGACACACAGTGTCACACATAACAATGTATTTAGTATTTGTATTTGTGTTATGCTTTTTTAAGAGCAGTCATTAACGTCCTAGTTATGAACTATAAAGTAATGAAAATAATTTTCAATAAATCTGCAATGTTATCACCCAACTTGCGAAGAGGATTTTATTGTTTTCAAATTTTATATACGTATGTCATCATCCTGTTTTATTATCAAATAAATGAATATGAAAAAAATCAGTCTTATGAAAAAATGGTTTATATTTTACTTTGGTTGGGTTTAAGGAAAGTTTCATTTAGCTGAAGGAATACATCTACATGAAGTTCAACTTCATTGGCTGTTCTCAATACATGTTAATAGTCCTATTTGGTGGACATACGCTGGAACTATCTCCTCAGAATGCAATGTGCTAATTCATACATGTAAAAATGAGGTGACCAGTAAGTATCAGGTAGGCCCTCACTAAATGCAAAGGAGAACTGAAGACTTGAATATGTCATGAGCTTTAATATATAAGATACATTTTGGACTAAAAAGAAAAGCCTGTTGTTACTTCTATGATTTTCTTTTGAACAATATAAAGGGTTTAGGTTTTCTCTTTAACGCTGTTTGTTCCTAAGTATTTCACTGTCCTCAGACAGGCCCCATGAAACCAACTGCAAATTGACCATTCCAAATCAATATACAGAAGTGTATTAAAATGTAATAAAAATAACCTGCTTTACACACACACAAAAATGAATAGGGTGGGAAAACTGCTCAACCAATTACTTTATCATTCAATGACACATCTAATTGTACCAATAATTTATATGTATATATAAAATATTTATAAATATTTAAATTTTTAAAATAGACAAAAGTTTCTTTTTTATACTCTTTTGGAAGCGTGAAACATTTGAAAGAATTTTTATCATACTTTTTGTTTAATCACTGTTTTAATTTTGAAGCTATTTTATTGGTAAGACTATTTCTCCAATTTTATGTCTACAAGTGAAAATCTATTTGGGTTATAAAACTTTTTTTACAGATAATTTTTCATGATGCACTATTCTATATATTAAGGAATGCATGTGTATTTATGATATTTTTATTCTACTTCCACTTCCAAAATAACTGCAACAGATGTCTGTTCTACAAAATACTCTTCCTTCTATATACTTCAAATTTTTAACAGTAGAAAGTGTAATCTCTAAATGCAAATATAAATGTAAACTGTATAAAATTTTTGTTATAACACTGAATGATTTTTAAATGTATAAATCTTGTTAAATAATAAGATTAAATAATTACATACCAAAGCAATTCCAGCAGAATAATGGGTAACACACATCTTTCCAGGAACTGTGGCTCCCACATAATCTGGATGATCGCTATAGCTAAATAAATAAGTATATATTTATAATTAATTTTGACAAACATTTCAAAGATGAGAATTCCTGCTAATAATTTGTCTATGGTCCATAAAATCCTAGACTAAAGCAAATTGAGGTACAATCTCTCCATACATCCTTATTGTTTCAAATTAGGAAGACATTCTTAATTAAATGAGATTAAGCATGCTATATATATTTTTTTTTATTTATTTATTTATAGAGAGAGGGAGACAGAGAGACAGAGCTCCAGCAGCGGGCGGAGCAGCAGGCCGAGAGAGAATCAGCCTCCCTGCTGAGCAAGGGACTCAATCCCAGAACCCTGGGATCATGACCTGAGCTAAAGGCAGATGCTTAACTGACTGAGCCACCCAGGCATCCCAAAGCATACTACATTTCTAAAATATATCCAATGGACCCAAGTTTTTTATGGCATTACTGTTATATTTAGTTAGGATTACTAAAGCCTTTGATCAAAAACATTTTAATCAAAAGCATTTTGTTGAGTGACAGTGAAAAACAGTTTTAATATATGGATTAAAAATTTTCATTCTGATGTAGAAAAGCTTACCAATTTCTCATAGAAATGACTTCATTTTTCTATAACTTAACTTTATTATTTCTTCATTGAGTAAGGGCCCATATAAATTGTCATATAATAATAGCACTATTCCCAGAGATTTTTCATAAAAATTATTCCATTTAATTCTCAAATCAAGCCAATGAAATAGATATTATTATCCCCATTGAACAAATCATACATCATCAGATGGAAAGTATAAGTAACTTTCTCAAGGTAACACAATAAGTGTTAGTGAAGGATATGAATTTAGGCAATCTGAATCCAGAGCCATACTCTCAACCATAAGCTATAGACACTCCAAACATGTTCTGCCATCTTTAGAGCCCCCATCAAAACAAACATTCCAAAATGTATATAAAGAAACTTGTTTCAATTATCAATTGAAGCATCTCCTCAGTTTCAACTACTTCACTTCACATTGCACTGTCTCCCTACTTCTGCCTTTATTCTGTCTCTCTGATACTTTTTATACCTAACCCTCCCAGCACTTGTTAACAAGTATTCACTATTAACATGAAACTTTGGCTTTCTTCCCCCAATGTTTTAAGTACAGTTTACATTTGTTCTTAATCCAAGATAGTGCTACCAATAGATTGTGAAAATGCAAGGATGTTTGCTCTCACCACTGGTATTCAGCATCATACTAGGGGTCCTAGCCTGTTAAATAAGGCAAAAATAAAATAAAATGAAATAAAAGGTATATGGATTGGAAAGGAAGGAATACAATTTTCTCTGTTTATGGATAATGTGACTGTCTACCTAGGAAATCGCATAGTATATAAAAAAGCTATTAGCACTAAGTATGTTCAGAAGGTTTGCATGTTTCAAAGTCGATGTACAAAAGTCAATCTGATTCTTATATACTAGCAATAAAATATTTGAAACTAAAGTAAATTGAAACATTTACAATAGCGTTAATATTATTTAAGGGTAGGGCGCCTGGGTGGCTCAGATGGTTAAGCGTCTGCCTTCGGCTCAGGTCATGGTCCCGGAGTCCTGGGATCGAGTCCTGCATCGGGCTCCCCGCTCTGCAGGAAGTCTGCTTCTCCCTCTGCCTCTCTCTCTCTCACGCTCATGAATAAATAAATAAAATCTTTAAAAAAATATATTATTTAAGGGTACAAACATGCAATGAGTAGTCAATAAGACCTAGAGATCTAATACAAGTATAGTAGATATAGATAACAATGCTGTATTACAACCTTTAAATCTGCTAAGAGCCTAGAACTTTATTATTCCAAGCACTAAAAATAATTACATAACATGATAGATGTGCTTATTACCACTACAATGGCAATCATAAATATATAAATGTATTTATTAACATGTTGTATACCTTAAATTTACAATGTTATGTAACATTCAAATACATTTGAATAAAAAATTTAAAGATAAATAAGTAAATTAAATTTTTTTCCATTTTGTGTTCAAAAAAAAGAAAAAATAGCACTAAAGACATGATATTATACTAGGATTTAAAGCTAACATAAATGTGAGAAAGATCTGCATCCTGATAGGACACTGATATATCTGTATACTGATAGAACTGTATACTACAGAACACTGATGAAAGAAATTTAAAAAGATCTAAGTAAATGGAAGAAAATACCAAGTTCGGGGGGGCGGAGCAAGATGGCGGAGGAGTAGGAGACCTGGATTTTGTCTCCTCTCAGGAATTCAGCTGGATAGGGATCAAACCATTCGGAACACCTACAAACTCAACAGGAGATTGAAGAAAAGAATAGCAACAACTCTCTGAACAGAAAAGCGACCACTTTCTGGGAGGTAGGACGTGCGGAGAAGTGAATCCCAGGCGATATTCGGGAGGATAGACGGCGGGGGAGGGGCCTCCGTTGGCCGCTTCTGGCAAGTGATAGAGCCGTGGAGCACAAAATCGGAACTTTTAAAAGTCTGCTCCGCGGAGGGACGTCACTCTGGTGGCTAAGCAGGGGGTGGAACCCTCCGGGACAGTGTGGTCTCAGGACCCTCGGGGTCACAGAAAGACCGGGGGTGCCTGAGTGTGGCAGAGCTCCCAGGTAACGGAGCAGGGAAGCCGGCTGCAGAGGCGGAGCCCAGGCGCGGGCTCTCAGCTCGGGGTGGCTATAAACCGTGATCCGCGGCACAGTCGGGCCCCTGCTCCTCCAGCAGGGACCCAACAAGCGGCAGATCCGGGGAGACTCACCTTCCTCCCCCAGGAGGAGCCGCGCGGGAGCGCACCGCAGGGATCTGCTGGGTTTGGAGACTCCAGACCGGGTCGGGTGCCAGAGATAGAGGTGCGCGGTCACAGGCCGGGTGAGCACGGAGTGCGGCCGGAGACCCGGGAGACGGGAGTGACTGCCAGCTTTTCTCTGGGGACTTGCTGAGGAGCGGGGCCCCGAGTTCTCGGCTCCTCCGGGGCAGAGACTGGGAGGCCGCCATTTTCACTCTCCGCCTCCAAAGCTGTACGGAAAGCTCACAGGGAACAAAAGCCCGGAGAGCAAACCCGAGCAGATGACTTAGCCGGGAGCGGGCAAGGGCGGGGCAATTCCGCCTCCGGCAGAGACATTTGGAAACCACGGCAACAGGCCGCTCCCCAGAAGATCAGCGAGAACAGCCGGCCAAGACCAAGTTTACCGATCAATGAGAAGGGCAGAACTCCAGCACTAGGGGACTACTGCACATAGAATTCACGGCTTTTTTACCATGATTCTTTAGTCTTTTAAAGTTAATTTTTTTTTTAACTGTCTTTTTGTCTTATTATTTCTTTTTGAATTTTTCTTTTTCCCTTTTTCAACCAACATCTTATCGATCCCTTTTTAAAAAAAAAAAAAACATTTTTATTTTTCATTTTTAGAGTCTTATTCTATCCCTTCATAGTAGTTACCCATATTTTTGGCTTATATATATAAGTTGTTCTCTCTTTAAAATTTTGAGATAGTTTCTTCTAACAGATTAAAATATACCCTAAATCTCTAGTATATGGTGCTTTCTATTCCCCTGCCTGATCACATCCTCTCCCTTTTTTTTTTCTCTTTTTAAATCCTCTTCTTTCTTTTTTCAAACAACTTCTTATCAATTCCTTTTATAACATTTTTTATAATTTCCATTTTTACAGTCATATTCCATCCCTTCATCATATCAACCCTTATTTTTGTACATATATAAGTTTTTCTTTCTTTAAAATTTTGGGAGGCACTTTCTTCTAAAAGACCAAAATACACCCCAAATCTAGTGTGTGGCACTGATCTATATACCATATAGATCATATTTGATCACATTCTAGTTTTCCTTTTGTTGTTGTTTTGTTTTGTTTGTTTTTGTTTTTATCTATCTTTTTTTTTTTTTCTTTTTCTTTTTTCTCTCTTTCCCTTTCTTATCCCACTGCTTCAGGTCTTTTCTGATTTGTTTAGAGTATATTTTCTGGGGACATGGTTATTCTGCTAGCATTTTCTTCTCTCATTAATCTATTCTCCTCTGCACAAAATGACAAGACGAAAAAAATCACCTCAACAAAAAGAACAAGAGGTAGTACCGACTGCCAGGGACCTACTCAATACGGACATTAGTACGATGTCAGATCTAGAGTTCAGAATCATCACTTTAAAGATACTAGCTGGGCTTGAAAAAAATATGGAAGTTATTAGAGAAACCCTTTCTGGAGAAGTAAAAGAGCTAAAATCCAACCAAGTAGAAATCAAAAAGGCTATTAATGAGGTGCAATCAAAAATGGGGGCGCTAACTGCTAGAATAAATAAGGCAGAAGAGAGAATCAGTAATATAGAAGACCAAATGATGGAAAATAAAGAAGCTGAGGAAAAGAGAGATAAACAACTACTGGATCACGAGGGCAGAATTCGAGAGATAAGCGATACCATAAGACGAAACAACATTAGAATAATTGAGATCCCAGAAGAAGAAGAAAAAGAGAGAGGGCCAGAAGGTATAATGGAGCAAATTATAGCAGAGAACTTCCCTAATTTGGGGAAAGAAACAGGCATGAAAATCCAGGAAGCACAGAGAACCCCTCTCAAAATCAATAAAAATAGGTCAACTCCCCGACATCTAATAGTAAAACTTACGAGTCTCATAGACAAAGAGAAAATCCTGAAAGCAGCTCGGGAGAAGAGATATGTAACCTACAATGGTAGAAACATTAGATTGGCAACAGACCTATCCACAGAGACCTGGCAGGCCAGAAAGGACTGGCAGGATATATTCAGAGCACTAAATGAGAAAAATATGCAGCCAAGAATACTCTATCCAGCTAGGCTGTCATTGAAAATTGAAGGAGAGATAAAAAGCTTCCAGGACAAACAAAAACTAAAGGAATTTGCAAACACAAAACCAGCCCTACAGGAAATCTTGAAAGGGGTCCTCTAAGCAAAGAGAGACCCTAAAAGCAACATAGACCAGAAAGGAACACAGACAATATATGGTAACAGTC